AAGAAATAACGGCCACCAGACCAAAGTTCTCAAAGCAGTGGTGAACAAAGAATCATACCAGGGTCATCAAAGAAGCAACCAATTCCAGTTGCTGAGATTCCAATAGCATGTGCTTCAAGGTACAGCACCTGTCCAAGGACTCCAGTTTCCCAAAATAATCGTGGATACATCCAGACATTCTTTTCACACAAAGTAGGTTCCATACGGGCCAACATACCAAGGCTGAAGCAACCATCACTTGCAATGTCCTGCAAGAACGTGATACACTTGTAAAGCAGGATATACAATATTCATGGAGTATCAGTTCATATTCTAATTAGAAATAAGACTGATATTAGTGTTATACAATTAATGGTATAATATCATTGTACATTAGAGTTATCAATATATCAATCAAAAGCTAAACCATTTCTGTACCTCAACCATTAGATCTTAAGATAATAAAGCACGGCAATAAGTCAAAGCTTTGATACCCAGATACACAAATCCCATACTATGATGCTATCAGGAATAAACAACCGTCTATTCACTTATTCAGTAGAGACAAAACTACCAGACAGTATGTGATAATTGTGAAGCGGATGGATATCTTATTAATTTATACAAACCAAATAAAATGTGTTTAAATAATAATTACGGCTTCAAAGCAAAATCCAAATTTAACTCCGTTATCTATTAAAAACAGTAGCATAAACCCTGACTTTCATGCTAATAAAGACATCTCTTGTTAGAGGCTGGAAAGTGTATGAGAGAAGGAGAAAGGTAGGAAAGTAAGTTGGAGAGCCTAACTGTATTAACAGTTAGGAAGGAGCGGGTGTGCTTGCATATAAAACAGAACCATTGTATTTCTGTTTAGTTAGTTAAGACTTTACTTTGTATAGTCAGGGCTAGAACCTGAGGAGGGGGATTAGGCTCCCGCTTATACCCATTGTACTTGTACTTTGATTGCTGTTAATACAAGAGTATACCATTCTTTTCCCTTTGGGACTTACTTTGGTGTTTTGGAGTGAGAAAGACAGGTTTCATTTTCCAGAAACCTATCATCTCTCATCTCCTGAATGACTGTGTTTCATTTCACAATCTAACTAGAAAATTATTTGATCATGTACAACATAATTCACGGACTTTAAGAAACATCATGAAGCAATGCAAAATTCAAAAGACAAGTAGGCAATCACCCATTGCCACATACCTGGTGGCACGAAAGCTGCTTCACAAGCTGCCGGCAATCAGATCTGAGCAGTTCATACAGTGGAAGCTCATCCGGGCAGCCCTCTGGTTTGGTCCACAAAAAGTCAGGTAGCATAGCTTTCTTCAATTCATCAAAATGATTTTTATTCCTCACCAAGAAATACAATCCTTGAGGCAATCCCACCACTCTATGAACAAATAAAGCAGCATGCACCTCAGCATCCCATGGAAGAGCCCGAAATGGCAAAGCCAGCTGCCTTCTTTGCCTCCCTCCACCCAGGCAACCTGAAGGAAGACAATGCAACAGAATTTGATAAAATGCATCTCTCTCAATTTTAGTTACTCCATCCATATCAACAGCACTCCTTCGCTTCCTAACAACTTCCCTCATAGTTAACCCCTTATAAAAACCCTCCCCACAAACACCACTCCTCTGAAACGGCTCAACCGAGAACTTATCCCCCAATTTCAAAGGCTTCTTCACAGCCTCAGCAGTCCTATAAATAACATCCCAACACACATGCTCTTTGCTAAGGTAATTATGTTTCCCCTTCCACTCCAACTTATCAAACCCCAATATAGCTTCACTTAATTCCTTCCAATTAACATCAAATCCATCAACCCCACTCGGATAAACCAGCATCACACAATCAGGATGCTCAAACTCAATTTCTGGAATCTTCCCTCTAACAGCACGCGACGGAATCTCAAAATCAGGGAAAACATGAAGCCCCATGAGCCTCTTCAACTCCTCACACCCCAAGGTATCCAAAACCTTCACATCCCAACCAAGACTCGCAGCAGCCATGGCAACTGCCCCAATGGCATGACCAACATCATGGTTACAGTACCTGAATTGAATAAACCATCAATTCCGTCCCTATTTTATTCTCTCTTAAGTGATTATTAATTTAACAAAACTACTTAGACAATTTCTGAAGTACAAAATATTATCAGTTCAGTCCCTAAGTTAATGAATTTTTCCTTGTCTAGATAAATTTCTCCATAATTACTTCTATAAAATGAAAAAATAGAAAAGTGAATTAAACTTCTCCATGATGCACAAACTAAAATCATCATCAACACTGAGAGAAGCTAAATGAAGAGAGTTCCTACTTATTAACACATGCATAAACTATATCATGCTTATTAAAAAAGAGAATATTTTTACAATAAAAGAATTAACAAAATAACATCTTTAACAAACTTCGATGACAAACTAAAACAATGTTTTAAGACTTAAATGACCACTCACCAAATGTGTAGTATTTATAGCACTACTAATTAAACATTTGAAAAAGGGGGATAATTTAAGCACAAAATTGGCAGTACCTGAACGCGCGTTCCCCATACTTCCAAGCCTCACGCCAGAAAACCGAGGACAACCCAACCAGAAACGAATTGGTTGGAAAAAACTTGGGGAAAAACCCAGATGGGGTTTGGGCTCTGAGTTCCAAAGAATGCTCCTTTGGGGCATAATGAGCGACAAAAGCGGAATCAGAGATAGAGGGTATGGGTGGGGCAACGATGTAGGCTTCAGTGGGGTGCAAATTGCCACTACTGGGGTTAACTCTGAGGGACCAAGTGGAGAAGCCAGTGGTTTTCCAGGCGGAGAGGGCGAGGGAATCGAAGAGGAACTGTGAAACGGTGGATTGGGAAATGGGGTGGGGAGAGGGGAAAGAAAGGAAGAGAGAGTGGTAAAGCGGTGGTTGATACGGTGGTTGTGGGTGGAGAAGAGAGATGAGAGGAGCGGAGAGGTATCTACGAAACGGGTTGGGCTGGTTGGCCCAGTCGAGGCCGTGAGGCCCCCGGGCGTAATGGTTGAGGTTGTGCTTGGTTTGGTTGTGGTATTTGAGAACGTGGGAGAGGTGTTGGTTAAGGTTGTTTTGAGAATATTGTTCGTGGTGTTGTTGGGGGTTGGAGGATGTTGACGGAGAAGGTGAAGAAGAAGATGAAGATGCAGAGGAAGAAAATGAAGGCATCATGGCATGGGAATGGAATAATGGAGGGTGGAAGAATGATAGAGTGAAAGGGGTTGAAGGAAGAAAATGGAGAAGTGGTGGTGATGGGGTGGTGAGGTTTCTGAGAGGGTAAGGTGATGGCATCTTTTAAAAGGTGAGAGTGAGGAAGAAAGATTGGAATGAAGAATGTGTGCAGTGGAATTTCATTCTAGAGTATTCAGTAGTTCTAGACTCAGTTTTCAGTGTGTGTGCTTTGCTTGTGGCAACAACTACCAGAAGAGGATGAAAAATTGTAAGAAAAATGGTATTTTGACACACGCAACATTCATTTAATTTGATATCATCTTTTTTTTTTCTTTTTTCTTGACATTATCTTTTCTTATTTTTTTTACTCTTTTGTACTATATCTGAAATAAATGTAAAAATATGTTATTGTAATTTACACAAATTATTGAAATCGAATCAAATAATTTATGATGTGTTACAATGAACTACTTTTAATGGAAAGTTTATTTTTGTAAGAATTTAAAATGAAAAAATGGGTTATTTTAAAATACAATTGAGATTTTTAATAATTTATTAAAATAATATGATTAATTAAAATTAAAAATTAATATTAAAAGATTTCAAAAATTTTGAGAATTTTAATCTTTTATATAATTTTACTAAACTTTTTTTTCTCAAATCATATCAAGGATGTTATGGATTAGAATTTTGAATAAACACTTGTTGTAAGAACCTAAAATATATATATATATATATATATATATATATATATATATATATA